TGGTGGTTGCGTACACATCTTTGCCACTCAGGCGAACACATTCCAGCTTTGAAGGAAGCCACAATGAGTCGAAGCTGACAACATGCTTATTGGGGAGACGGCGAGTCTATTCTTGTTTTTCCAACAATGGGACCCCGGTACCCACATGTGGAGTTTTTGTGTATGACATGTGTATACAGCACAACATACGTTGTAGTCTGTTTTTAATGTGCTTCACTTACATTTAAAATAACATTTCATTCACGTATTGCAAAGTATTTAAAGTGTCTTAAGATATATTAGCATCTCATATGCTAACTTCTGACATACAAAACATGTTTCTTCTGCTGTAGGGAAATCAGCTACTCCAAGCTGCAGTTTGAGTATTTGATGACTGCAAGGGAGTTTTAGTTCACTTATTAATGGCTGTGATTTGTTGTGTGATGAAGCCATAGAGGCAAGATTGGCTTATAATGGTGGATTTGTCTTTAGTAAGACCAGAAGAAATTTAAAATTAAAAGGCCATTTCATGTGACACTTTGCTTCAAATGGACACAACATTATTAGTTGATTTGATTTGATTCAAGAACCGACATCACATCACTCGGGGCATCCCATAAGTGCTCCCCATCTTCAGCAGCCAGCGAAGAGTTCCAATACTAATGGTGCCAGTAGCTTTCTGATTAAACGTCCGTCTTGCCTTTCCTCTGAGCCTCGAGCATCTGCCAGAACCTCTCCACTGCATCAATCTCAGCAGACTGTCTTGATCCATCTGCTCCTCCAAACTGTACACGTATTAGTTGATGTTGATTTAGAAGAGGCTACACATACGTGTTGTTTCCCGCAGTATTCAGTAATATGTGTGGTGAATTTTTTAAACAGATACAGAAAAATTCACAATGATAATGAACTGATTTCATCCAACATGATGAAACTGGACAAATTTGTTTCTGCTGTTTGTGCCATGAGGAGAAATATTTAGTAGTGCTATAGTACTGTTAAGAAAACTGCTCTTGAAGAAAAAGTATTGCACATATCCCTTTCATACTGACAGTGCATTAATATAAACAAAAACCCATGGCAAGTCGCTAGCTTGTCTGCTAATTATTAACTAACAGTATAATTATATGTTGCATTAGTCTACTAATATTAATATTAATCCTTAATCATTTATATTCATTTTATGTCAGATATGTGTATACGGCACAGCAGTTGCAGTTGAATGATCCGCAGTTTAATGAGCTAAACCTGTTAAAGTAAAAATGTCACCCTCTGATGCAGTATCACCTTAGAATCAAAGAGTGAGCACTAACTTTTATTGACTTCTGCTGGAACAGCTTTCAATTTATTGCTACACATTATTGATATGTGTGTTCATGTTGACTTAGCAAATGCATTTATGTTTGTCTGCATGAACCATTGTTGTTATATCTTTTAATAGTACATTATTTATCTGTAAAAAATGTGTTGCAAATAATTAAACTGTAGTTTAATTTATGCATAAATCTACTGGATAAAAATAGTCAAAACAGACCGGTCTATCGGAATCTCACAAAAACAGGAATTTAAAATTTAAGTACTTACTGCAGCTTTCTTATCCTCGACTTCTTGTCTTTTTCTCTCCTCTTCCTCCTTCTGTCTTCGCCTCTCCAATTCTGCTTTCCTGTTAGTATAGTGGATAATAAGATTACATCTGTGTCAATGGATATTTACAATTCTGCTTTCCTGTTAGTATAGTGGATAATAAGATTACATCTGTGTCAATGGATATTTACAATTCTGAACTATGTGTTCTCTATTCATGTCAGCTGGTTAGTCAATTAGTTATATGACAAATAACTGCACATCAAACAATGGACCAGCACTCAAGTATACACTTCAGCTTTAAAGGCTGACCACAACCATTTCTGTCAAGGTTTATATCTGCCTGGATCATCTCATGAGAATATTTTTTCAGCATTAGTGACTGACCAGAACAAGTTCTGTGAAGGTTTATATCTGCCTGGATCACCTCATGAGAATATTTTTTCAGCATTAGTGACTGACCAGAACAAGTTCTGTGAAGGTTTATATCTGCCTGGATCACCTCATGAGAATATTTTTTCAGCATTTGTGACTGACCAGAACAAGTTCTATGCTGGTTTTCTATTCTTTGGCTTCTTGTAGAGATTTCCTGCCTTCTTTCATGCAGTTCTTGCACTTTTGTCAAGGCTTATAGTCATCAATTCATATAACTGTCCTGCCTCAGTGATAGCAATTAGCCTGGTCAATAGCTCACCAACTTCACACAGTACCTCAGCCAGCAAGCCTATCAGCTTGTTCATTTCCTTTTACATCTGCATGCCCTGGCATTAAAAGTATTTGTTGATAACTGTCAGCCATGATCTCCTCAATGATCCAGTCACTGTTTTGTTTTTTAGCCCAGTCCATCTGAATTTTCTTGATTGTACTTGCTGAGTCAGAGAGGCCAAAGACAAGCCATAGACTGTGTGTTGTTCTGTAGTGAGTCAGTGGTAGACTGTGTGTTATTCTGTAGTGAGTCAGTGGCAGACTGTGTGTAATTCTGTAGTGAGTCAGTGGTAGACTGTGTGTTATTCTGTAGTGAGTCAGTGGCAGACTGTGTTATTCTGTATTGAGTCAGTGGCAGACTGTGTAATTCTGTAGTGAGTCAGTGGTAGACTTTGTGTTATTCTGTAGTGAGTCAGTGGCAGACTGTGTGTTATTCTGTAGTGAGTCAGTGACAGATTGTGTAATTCTGTAGTGAGTCAGTGACAGACTGTGTAATTCTGTAGTGAGTCAGTGGTAGACTGTGTGTAATTCTGTAGTGAGTCAGTGGTAGACTGTGTGTTATTCTGTAGTGAGTCAGTGGTAGACTGTGTGTTATTCTGTAGTGAGTCAGTGGCAGACTGTGTGTTATTCTGTAGTGAGTCAGTGGCAGACTGTGTGTTATTCGGTAGTGAGTCAGTGGCAGACTGTGTGTTATTCTGTAGTGAGTCAGTGGAAAACTGTGTGTTATTCTCTAGTGAGTCAGTGGCAGACTGTGTGTTATTCTGTAGTGAGTCAGTAGTAGACTGTGTGTTATTCTGTAGTGTGTCAGTGGTAGACTGTGTGTTATTCTGTAGTGTGTCAGTGGTAGACTGTGTGTTATTCGGTAGTGAGTCAGTGGCAGACTGTGTGTTATTCTGTAGTGAGTCAGTGGAAAACTGTGTGTTATTCTCTAGTGAGTCAGTGGCAGACTGTGTGTTATTCTGTAGTGAGTCAGTAGTAGACTGTGTGTTATTCTGTAGTGTGTCAGTGGTAGACTGTGTGTTATTCTCTAGTGCGTCAGTGGCAGACTGTGTTATTCTGTAGTGAGTCAGTGGTAGACTGTGTGTTATTTTGTAGAGAGTCAGTGGTAGACTGTGTGTTATTCTGTGGTGAGTCAGAGGTAGACTGTGTGTTATTCTGTAGTGAGTCACTAGCAGACTATGTGTAATAATGTATTGAGTCACTGGCTGTTGTAATTCTGTAGTGAGTCAGTGAAAGGCTTTGTGTAATTATGTAGTGAGTCAGTGAAAGGCTTTGTTAAATTATGTTGTAATTCTGTACTGACTCAGTTGACAGACTGTGTGCATACAGTGGGCACACAATACACATTATGAGAACTAGCAGGTGAGCACACAAAAAAGATCAATGAATCTCAGCTTTAGACAATGATCAACAAATGAAATGCCCCACTGATAAGTCTTTGGCAGTTCAGACTGATAGATCAACAAACAAAATGCCCCAATGACAGTCTTGGGCAGTTCAGATTGATAGATCAACAAACACAATGCCCCACTGACAGTCTTGGGCTGTTCAGATTGATAGATCAACAAACAACATGCCCCAATGACAGTCTTGGGCAGTTTAGATTGATAGATCAACAAACAAAATGCCCCAATGACAGTCTTGGGCTGTTCAGATTGATAGATCAACAAACAAAATGCCCCAATGACAGTCTTGGGCTGTTCAGACTGATAGATCAACAAACAAAATTCCCTACTGACAGTCTTGGGCAGTTCAGACTGATAGATCAACAAACAAAATGCCCCACTGACAGACTTGGGCAGTTCAGACTGATAGATCAACAAACAAAATGCCCCAATGACAGTCTTGGGCAGTTCAGACTGATAGATCAACAAACAAAATGCCCCAATGACAGTCTTGGGCAGTTCAGACTGATAGATCAACAAACAAAATGCCCCAATGACAGACTTGGGCAGTTTAGATTGATAGATCAACAAACAACATGCCCCACTGACAGTCTTGGGCTGTTCAGATTGATAATCAACAAACAAAATGCCCCAATGACAGACTTGGGCAGTTTAGACTGATAGATCAACAAACAAAATGCCCCACTGACAGTCTTGGGCAGTTTAGACTGATCAATCAACAAACAAAATGCCCCACTGACAGACTTGGGCAGTTCAGACTGATAGATCAACAAACAACATGCCCCAATGACAGACTTAGGCAGTTCAGATTGATAGATCAACAAACAAAATGCCCCAATGACAGACTTGGGCAGTTCAGATTGATAGATCAACAAACAAAATGCCCCACTGACAGTCTTGGGCAGTTCAGATTGATAGATCAACAAACAAAATGCCCCACTGACAGTCTTGGGCAGTTCAGATTGATAGATCAACAAACAAAATGCCCCACTGACAGACTTGGGCAGTTCAGATTGATAGATGAACAAACCAAATGCCCCACTGACAGACTTGGGCAGTTCAGATTGATAGATCAACAAACAAAATGCCCTACTGACAGTCTTGGGCAGTTTAGACTGATCAATCAACAAACAACATGCCCCACTGACAGTCTTGGGCAGTTTAGACTGATCAATCAACAAACAACATGCCCCACTGACAGACTTGGGCAGTTCAGATTGATAGATCAACAAACAAAATGCCCCACTGACAGACTTGGGCAGTTTAGACTGACATAGGTTAGAAGTGTAGATTAATACAATGCAATCTACAGCCTAAATCACTCACTTTTTTCTTTGTTCTTCTTCTTCAATTCTTTTCCTTTCTTCTTCTTCTCTTTTCTTTCTCTCTTTCTCCATTTGCTCCTGTAAAACAACCAGTTCAGTAATTGCCACATCATTAAAATATGAGACCAATGTCTTAGCTGTTCTCAATCTCTCTTATTCACACGCAGGCACGCATGAATGCAGGCACGCACACACACAATCAAAGACTGCGGCAATATATGATTTCATAATCACACAGCTTGAAATCAGCCATCACCCGAGGTCAACCATAAATATCACACAACATGAGGTTGGTCATCAATATCAAACAATATGTGCTCAGCTGTCAACATCACACAACCTGAGGCTAGTCAACAGTATCACACAACCTGAAATCAGCCATCAACATCAAACAACCTGAGGTCAGTAATCAACATCACACAACCTGAGGTCAGCCATCAACATCAAACAACCTGAGGTCAGTAATCAACATCACACAACCTGAGGTCAGCCATCAACATCACACAACCTGAGGTCAGCCATCAACATCAAACAACCTGAGGTCAGCCATCAACATCAAACAACCTGAGGTCAGTAATCAACATCAAACAACCTGAGGTCAGCCATCAACATCAAACAACCTGAGGTCAGTAATCAACATCACATAACCTGAGGTCAGCCATCAACATCACATAACCTGTTTTATAGAAAAAATACTCTTTTTGAAAGTTTAGAAAGGCTGAATCTAAGATAGACTTGAATGCCCAGTTTTTGACTTCTTGAAGGTACAATTAATTCATTCCTTCCTTTTCTCCCACTTGGTAACTCATTCTTCTACAAGTGCAGACACAGATGGGTATACTGCAGATTCCATTCTCATTATATGACCCTACTATATTTATCTACTGAAGCCTGCACCAAGTTACCATGCAACAAGTTACTATAAGATTAATCTACTGAAGCCCACACCATAGATCTATCTTACCATGTAACAGGTTACTATAAGACGTAATCTACTGAAGTCCAGACTACAGATCTATCCTACAATGCAAAAGTTACTATAAGACTAACCTACTAAAAGCCTACAATACAGATCTATCTTATCATGTAACAAGTTACTATAAGACTAATCTATGAAGTCTACACTTCAGATCTATCCTACCATACAACAAATTACTATAAGACTGATCTATTGAAGCCCACACTATAGATCAATCTACAATGTATAAGTTACACAATAAGACTAACCTACTAAAAGCCTACACTAAAAAACTACTGAACTTAATCATGTTTCTAAAGAAACTAGTTAGTTGACTTACAGTTGGAACTACTTTAGTACAGCATACCATGCCCCACAAACTTATTCTAATACCACAAGCGGATGGATACCAATGAAGCCATTTAACAAAGAAGAACATGCCTGCAGCCAGACCTGACATGTGAGCTGGAGATTTGTCTCATCAACCAGTGACATACTTTACCTGAATCTTCTTCAAGCGCTCCTGTTCCTCTCTGCTCTTTTCTTCTTCCAGTTTCTTCTTCATATCATTGAGAAGGACATCCATGTTGGTTGCCAGTGTGTTTGTCATCCTGGCCATCTCTGCTCTTGACAGATCAGTAGTCTAGACCGCCCAATTGAGAACATATGAGAAATAATATCAGACTGGCCCTCAACGTAACATTTGAGAACATATGAGAAATAATATCAGACTGGCCCTCAACGTAACATTTGAGAACATATGAGAAATAATATCAGACTGGCCCTCAACGTAACATTTGAGAACATATGAGAAATAATATCAGACTGGCCCTCAACGTAACATTTGAGAACATATGAGAAATAATATCAGACTGGCCCTCAGCATAACATTTGAGAACATATGAGAAATAATATCAGACTGGCCCTCAGCGTAACATTTGAGAACATATGAGAAATAATATCAGACTGGCCCTCAACGTAACATTTGAGAACACAGATAAATCTCTTTATAGGTTAAAATCTCATGTCAAATAAGTTTTGTTATAAGGAAAAACTAAAACAAGTACAGCTGGTGCCTGCATAGAACAGAAGAAATCAAATGGTCTGACTGAGTATAACGCTGAAGTATAGCTCTGGGAGAGAACTACACAAGTTATAGTGCAGCAGCAGGTTAGGAACAGAATATGTAATTGGAAAGGGCACTAGAACCTACAGGATCAAATGAATCACGGCACATCAAAACATAAGGAGAAGAAAATTAGAAAGATATGTTTAAAAATTTTTTTTTTTAAGTGGGAAGGACAGAGGGTGAGTTGTCCATAATAACAACAGATGAGATGACTTGGTGGGAGTTGTCTAAGGACGATGTGAGTTGTCTGAGGACTTGGTGTAAGTTGGCTGAGGACTTGGTGCGAGTTGTTTGAGGATTTGACGTGAGATATCTGAGAACCTGATGTGAGTTAGACATCTGAGGACTTGCTGTGAGTTGTCTGAGGACTTGATGTGAGTTATCTGAGGACTTGATGTGAGTTGTCTGAGGAATTGATGTGAGTTGTCTGAGGAATTGATGTGAGTTGTCTGAGGAATTGATGTGAGTTGTCTGAGGAATTGATGTGAGTTGTCTGAGGAATTGATGTGAGTTGTCTGAGGAATTGATGTGAGTTGTCTGAGGAATTGATGTGAGTTGTCTGAGGAATTGATGTGAGTTGTCTGAGGAATTGATGTGAGTTGTTTGAGGATTTGATGTGAGTTGTCTGAGGACTTGGTGTGAGTTGTCTGAGGACTTAATGTGAGTTGGGGACTTGATGTGAGTTATCTGAGGACTTGATATGAGTTATCTGAGAACATGATGTTTACCCTGATCTGATAAACATCACATCCAACATCAGTTTACCAGGATCTGATAAACATCACATCAAACATCAGTTTACCCTGATCTGATAAACATCACATCAAACATCAGTTTACCCTGATCTGATAAACATCACATCAAACATCAGTTTACCCTGATCTGATAAACATCACATCAAACATCCGTGTACCCTGATCTGATAAACATCACATCAAACATCAGTTTACCCTGATCTGATAAACATCACATCAAACATCAGTTTACCCTGATCTGATAAACATCACATCAAACATCAGTTTACCCTGATCTGATAAACATCACATCAAACATCCGTGTACCCTGATCTGATAAACATCACATCAAACATCAGTTTACCCTGATCTGATAAACATCACATCAAACATCAGTTTACCCTGATCTGATAAAGATCACATCAAACATCAGTTTACCCTGATCTGACGAATGAAGTTCTCCTGACTAGTCTCTAGTTCCTTGATGGCCTTGACCGCCTGGTCCTTGTCCTTCTTCAGCTGAGAGACAATCTGATCCAAGAGGCTACGCTGGGCTTGGATGGCCTTCACCTTCTGGATAGTTTCAAACCTAGCCACACGGGAACATGAATTGTGTATGTAAACAGTCATACCATGTGTATGTAAAGAGGCATAAAGTGTGTATGTTAACAAAAATAACTGGTGTATGTAAAGAGACATAACTTGTGTAAGTATGGAGGAATTAATTGTGTAGGTTAACAAAAATATTTTGTGTATGTAAGAGACATAATTTGTGCATGTAGAGAGACATAATTTGTGTACATAAAGAGACATAAATTGTGTATGTAAACAAAAATAATTGATGTATGAAAAGTATGTCTGTGTCTGTGGCTTAGGTGTTGCGAACATGCTTCATAATGGCCTGGGTGCCAGATTCGATCCCAGCTGCGGGCCTTGCGCCTTACATTGGTTTCAACAGTGGTATCAAGAAGCCAACTGTCAAGAAAGCAATGGCAAACTACTAGACGTAAATTTGCCTAGAAAAACCACAACAGCCAAAAAATGCTGGGATTGGTTCTGCAACATCCTGTAAAAGATGTGAAGAGACATAACTTGTGTATGTAAACAAAAAATAACATGTATGTAAACAAAAATAACCTGTGTATGCATACAAAAGACAGTGTGTGTATGTAAAGAGACAACTTGTATTTTTAGAGATTTTAGATTAAACACCTCTGAAATGCTGAGATAATCTATTAAACACCTGTAACAGGTTGATGTCATTTATTAAACACTTGTGATATGCCAATGTCATCTATTAAACACCTGTGACATATAATGTTAGTTAGTTAGTCGACAGATCATCCTTACTGAAAATCAAACCATTTAGTCCCTTAGTGCTACGATCCCCTCCTCAGTCAATCCCACCTGAATTCTGCAAAAGATGTGTCACTCGCTGGTAAGGCATCATGAAAGCGTTGTCGATATCCTTCTGATGCACTGTAGCAAAAGAACTTCTTTCTTCCGTTGACAGGTTGCTAAACTTAGCTAAGGTCTTTCCTGTTAACAAATCACGCAGGCGACAGACCCATTGTGATTCAGGAATACCTGTAAATCTATGAGCTTCTTCAAATCTCTCAATAAAAGAATGTAATTCATCTTCTGGTTTAAAGAAGGGTAATTTGGGTTTATACTTTTCCACATCTTCACTTGAGTGGTTCGAAACCTTTTTTTTTATTTAGCGTCTTCAACTTCGCTAATTCTTTTTCTTTCTCTGCAATGGCCAACTCTGCCATTTCTTTTTGATGAGCTCTTTCCGCAGCTCTCTTATTTCTAGCAGCTTTTTCTGCCTCTCTAGCAGCTTTTCTTTTTCTGTTACCTCTTTCATCCTAGCTTCTGCAAAGCTCAGGATCTCTTCAGACTTGAGTCCCAACTTCTTAGCTATGCTGACAAACTCAGCAAAGGACATTTTGACTGTTAATGATGCCAATGGGATGGACACAAATAAAAGACACTATTCGAGGCTACTATAACCTCGCTAACTTTTACAAAAACAAGATGACCAAAAAACAAGCTATGTATGACGGTACACTTGAGAAAATGGACCGAAAGCACAAAGGATTATCACATACAATAACAAACCATACATACAGGACTATTAACGTCACCTGACGCAGACACTTAGGTATTGTGGTCTATAAAACAACTGGCAGAAATAATTAAATCCTAAATTATGCATCCTACAAAATGTTACCTAATTAGAAGCGCCCCAGCTGTTGTGTGCTATCTGAGTTACACAATGATCTGATGACGACCTGAGTGGACTGCTGCTGATTTCGAAGGGCATTTACAAACTGTCCTTAGGCCAGCATCGGTGAACGGGGAGCTGTGACAATTTACTAGGCTGTGTTCTTCTTTCTTCAGCGATCTCTGGTCATGCGCATAATCCACTGTGGGTCATAAACTGGGATGTCTTTTTAAGGTCTCTTAGGTTTCCCCAAAGCTTAGTTGTCAGTTCTACTGGGTGTTGCCATATGTTGCTCCGCAGCTCCGCCAGGAGAGGACAGTCTTGCAGGACATGTTCTGGAGTCTGTTCAGCATGAAGGCACTGGCAGAGAGCTGTTTGGCTCATACCTAATTTATATAAGTGTTTATTGAGTCTGCAGTGTCCAGTACATAAGCGAAAACTGTGACTTGGTCTGTTCTGTTCAAGTATTTCAGAAAATCTTTTTCGTAGTTATAACCAGTGTTGGTTTTCTAATCTGTTTCTGATTTTCTCTTAATGAGAGTTTTGACTTCTGGAAAAGATAGTGGCTGGTAGGTCTGTGGTTTGTTACTGCCTTCCTTGGCTAAAGCATCAGTGCTTTCATTGCCTTTGATGCCACGGTGAGATGGAATCCATTGTAAGTGAGTTTCTGCCTTTTTTGACAACATAGCAAGTGTTAGACTTTGTAGTGTGCTGTCGGTAGGTTTGGATTCAAGGGCCTGTATAGCTGACAGTGAGTCAGTGAGAAAACCATCCTGCCTGCGGTGATTTGCAGATTGTTCATATACTGTGCTGCCATCGAAAGGGCTGACAGCTCTGCCTTGCAATACGCTGTGTTCAAGTTTGCCCACTACCTGTATGGATGCCACTTTACGAGTTGTCAACACGATATATAGTGCAATAGTGTGTGAAGGGACAGAGTGGTATGATAGTACTTTTTGAGAGTTCAAGGAAAAAATTGTCAACATTGGCTCGAGTAGTGAGGGGGAGAGAATGTTGACCAGTGAAAATGTATTACCACGAACGAGGCATACACACCCGTGAAAGTAGACGCGTGGCTTCACTGTGTGAGTGTGATAAGCATGGCTAACAAGACACAGGGAGAAAGTCTGAATTACGTGACAGTATGATTCTCATGTAACATCAGCCACCCACATAGGCGTGATTCTCGAGAACGTCCACATAAGCATGAGTCTCGACAATAGCCACATGAGTATGATTCCCGAGAACGCCCACACAATCGTGTCTCTCGTGTAAACATCAGCCGCCCACATGGGTTCGGCAGAGATATATTGGAGCTGGATAGTCAGTCTGAGCAAGACACAGAGAGAAAGACCAAGTCAGGGTTAGTCAGTATTTCTCGAGTGAGACAAGTACCATGCAACTATCAGGCATCAAGGTCTGAGTAAGGGTTGTGGTTGCGGTACTGGTCGAAGGTATAGTCCCGCTGGCGAAGTAAGTCCAAGGGGACTGGATGCTCCAATAGTGACTGTTCTGGGTGACGGCGCAAGGAGACGTAGGGTCACCACGGAAACAGAACAGTAGGAAGACCGCGAGAGCTGTGTGCTAGAGGGGACTTGTGTTAAAAGTCCTGTCGGTCATCGGAGTCCTTCGACAGGCTGACGTGCTGTGTGATGTGGAGAACGGGCAAAGGAAGTCCGTCTCCAGTCAGCCGTGGTTGTCTGCTAAGTAATATCAGTGGATAGGTTCATCCTACAAGTTGAGAGAGTGAGACTAAATGGACTAAGTGCGAATGCCAATTAGGATTAATGTCTCTGTAGTTTTGTTGATATGAGGGCTTGTAACTATCCTCTTGTGTTCTGTTGAATAAATATGCTATGTGATGGAACTACTGTTGTTGAGTCCTGCTTCCAGAATGTGGGAGCGAAAGTTATGTCTATAGACACTTGGAAGTGTGTTGATTAGTGTGTAACTCAGATAGTACACAACACTCAGCTTACACTGGTTCCCACAGACAATCACAGGTTTGTTTTCCTGAGGTCTACCCAGCATACACTAGTTCCCACAGACAATCACAGGTTTGTTTCCCTGAGGTCTATCCAGCTTACACTAGTTCCCACAGACAATCACAGGTTTGTTTCCCTGAGTTCTAGCCAGCTTACACTAGTTCCCACAGACAATCACAGGTTTGTTTCCCTGAGGTCTATCCAGCTTACACTAGTTCTCACAGACAATCACAGGTTTGTTTCCCTGAGGTCTAGCCAGCTTACAATGGTTCTCACAGAATATCAAGCACTATCAATGAGAAGAATAACATCTAAACATACACTGATAGAAGACTGATCTTACTTGGGTTTAAACTTGCGAGCGTGCCGCCACATGCGAATATTTGACTGTAGTACAACAAACTTGCTGGCTCGGTACAGAATCTTATTTTTCACTGAAAACAAAAAAATGTGGTTGTTACTAAGGCTGTACCGAATAGTGATTTTTACTATTTGGCTGAATATGAATAGTGGGACCAACTATTCGGCCGAATATGAATACGTAAGAAGATTCTTGACAGCCTTTTATCATGTCATGGTAGTGTGTCAAAACATGAACATACACACAGGTGCAGATTGCTGACAGACAGAGATGGACAAAACATACACTTGATGACAGACAGAGATGGACAAGACTTACACTTGATGACAGACAGAGATGGACAAGACTTACACTTGATGACAGACAGAGATGGACCAGATTTACACTTGATGAGAGAGAGATGGACAAGACTCACACTTGATGACAGATAGAGATGGACAAGACTTACACTTGATGACAGACAGAGATGGACAAGACTTCCACTTGATGACAGACAGAGATGGACCAGATTTACACTTGATGACAAAGATGGACAAGACTTACACTTGATGACAGACAGAGATGGACAAGACTTACACTTGATGACAGACAGAGATGGACAAGACTTACACTTGATGACAGACAGAGATGGACAAGACTTACACTTGATGACAGACAGAGATGGACAAGACTTACACTTGATGACAGACAGAGATGGACAAGACTTACACTTGATGACAGACAGAGATGGACAAGACTTACACTTGATGACAGACAGAGATGGACCAGATTTACACTTGATGACAGTCAGAGATGGACAAGACTTACACTTGATGACAGACATAGATGGACAAAACTTACACTTGATGACAGACAGAGATAGACAAGACTTACACTTGATGACAGACAGAGATGGACCAGATTTACACTTGATGACAGAGATGGACAAGACTTACACTTGATGACAGACAGAGATGGACCAGATTTACACTTGATGACAGAGATGGACAAGACTTACACTTGATGACAGACAGAGATAGACAAGACTTACACTTGATGACAGACAGAGATGGACCAGATTTACACTTGATGACAGAGATGGACAAGACTTACACTTGATGACAGACAGAGATAGACAAGACTTACACTTGATGACAGACAGAGATGGACAAGACTTACACTTGATGACAGACAGAGATGGACAAGACTTACACTTGATGACAGAGATGGACAAGACTTACACTTGATGACAGACAGAGATGGACCAGATTTACACTTGATGACAGACGTGGAGAAGACTTACACTTGATGACAGACAGAGATGGACAAGACTCACACTTGATGACAGAGATGGACAAGACTTACACTTGATGACAGACAGAGATGGACAAGACTTACACTTGATGACAGACAGAGCACACCACTGAGCTTTCTTCCAGCGAGACTGCAGCAGCCACTTCTTCACCTTCTTGACCAGCTCTGCCAAGCTTTCTGGGTCACTCTTCATGATCTGGTCAAACTCTGCAAACTTTCCGGGTCGGAAGAACACTTTGGTCATACCAAACTTGAAATCCTTGTCATCAAGACCAAGAGCTTTGAACAATGACTGTAAAAACAAAACAGACAAGAAGTCAAGGAGATAAACCATTAATGTTATAGGATCAGTGTACAGACTCTATATATGGTTGTAACCACATCTCCCATGCTTTACATGAGGTTCAATTCAGAAGGAAGAATCAAACACCGCTCCTAACAAATAGATATGGTGTAAGCTAACAAAAGTACATTCGATAATATCTCCCCCAGCGTAACTAACTGATCAGGAAGACAACAGTTTTAATTTGCAAGTCAGATAAATGTTGCAGCTGCATGACAAGATATGAATCAGCAAACAATCTCCTGCTGAGCCAAAAGAATTCCTAGGAGTCCACAACTTGGACTGTGGTTTCACCAAGTGGTTTCACCTTTATTTTACTGATGCTACAACCAGCTGCTGATAAATATGTTCAACAAAATTTGAGCTGAGTGCCCTACCTGCAATGACATTAATGATCACAATTTGTTTTACCTTGCAGAAAAGTCTGGGATCCAGTCGGGACAGCTCAGGTGGCAAGTATTTTTTATACATGTTGTACAACTCAGAGAACTGTGTACGTGAGGGGTAGCCCTGCTGCATGAGGTCCAGCACAGAAACCATGCCTGTAGACAGAAACATGCTGTGTCAGTCAGTGGTCAACACATCCACAAATGTTAAACACACTTCAACAGGGGACTACAATAGCCACAGAGTCACTGTAGACAGAAACATGCTGTGTCAGTCAGTGGTCAACACATCCACAAATGTTAAACACACTTCAACAGGGGACTACAATAGCCACAGAGTCACTGTAGACAGAAACATGCTGTGTCAGTCAGTGGTCAACACATCCACAAATGTTAAACACACTTCAACAGGGGACAATAGCCACAGAGTCACTGTAGACAGAAACATGCTGTGTCAGTCAGTGGTCAACACATCACAAATGTTAAACAACACTTCAACAGGGGACTACAATAGCCACAGAGTCACTGTAGACAGAAACATGCTGTGTCAGTCAGTGGTCAACACATCCACAAATGTTAAACCACTTCAACAGGGGACTACAATAGCCACAGAGTCACTGTAGACAGAAACATGCTGTGTCAGTCAGTGGTCAACACATCCACAAATGTTAAAAACACACTTCAACAGGGGACTACAATAGCCACAGAGTCACTGTAGACAGAAACATGCTGTGTCAGTCAGTGGTCAACACATCCACAAATGTTAAACACACTTCAACAGGGGACTACAATAGCCACAGAGTCACTGTAGACAGAAACATGCTGTGTCAGTCAGTGGTCAACACATCCACAAATGTTAAACACACTTCAACAGGGGACTACAATAGCCACAGAGTCACTGTAGACAGAAACATGCTGTGTCAGTCAGTGGTCAACACATCCACAAATGTTAAACACACTTCAACAGGGGACTACAATAGCCACAGAGTCACTGTAGACAGAAACATGCTGTGTCAGTCAGTGGTCAACACATCCACAAATGTTAAACACTTCAACAGGGACTACAACAGCCACAGAGTCACTGTAGACAGAAACATGCTGTGTCAGTCAGTGGTCAACACATCCACAAATGTTAAACACACTTCAACAGGGGACTACAATAGCCACAGAGTCACTGTAGACAGAAAACATGCTGTGTCAGTCAGTGGTCAACACATCCACAAATGTTAAACACACTTCAACAGGGGACTACAATAGCCACAGAGTCACTGTAGACAGAAACATGCTGTGTCAGTCAGTGGTCAACACATCCACAAATGTTAAACACACTTCAACAGGGACTACAACAGCCACAGAGTCACTGTAGACAGAAACATGCTGTGTCAGTCAAGTGGTCAACACATCCACAAATGTTAAACACACTTCAACAGGGACTACAACAGCCACAGAGTCACTGTAGACAGAAACATGCTGTGTCAGTCAGTGGTCAACACATCCACAAATGTTAAACCACTTCAACAGGGGACTACAACAGCCACAGAGTCACTGTAGACAGAAACATGCTGTGTCAGTCAGTGGTCAACACATCCACAAATGTTAAACAACACTTCAACAGGGGACTACAACAGCCACAGAGTCACTGTAGACAGAAACATGCTGTGTCAGTCAGTGGTCAACACATCCACAAATGTTAAACACACTTCAACAGGGGACTACAATAGCCACAGAGTCACTGTAGACAGAAACATGCTGTGTCAGTCAGTGGTCAACACATCCACAAATGTTAAACACACTTCAACAGGGGACTACAACAGCCACAGAGTCACTGTAGACAGAAACATGCTGTGTCAGTCAGTGGTCAACACATCCACAAATGTTTGAACACACTTCAACAGGGGACTACAATAGCCACAGAGTCACTGTAGACAGAAACATGCTGTGTCAGTCAGTGGTCAACACATCCACAAATGTTAAACACACTTCAACAGGGGACTACAATAGCCACAGAGTCACTGTAGACAGAAACATGCTGTGTCAGTCATGGTCAACACATCCACAAATGTTAAACACACTTCAACAGGGGACTACAATAGCCACAGAGTCACTGTAGACAGAACATGCTGTGTCAGTCAGTGGTCAACACATCCACAAATGTTAAAACACACTTCAACAGGGGACTACAATAGCCACAGAGTCACTGTAGACAGAAACATGCTGTGTCAGTCAGTGTCAACACATCCACAAATGTTAAACACACTTCACAGGGGACTACAACAGCCACAGAGTCACTGTAGACAGAAACATGCTGTGTCAGTCAGTGGTCAACACATCCACAAATGTTAAACACACTTCAACAGGGGACTACAACAGCCACAGAGTCACTGTAGACAGAAACATGCTGTGTCAGTCAGTGGTCAACACATCCACAAATGTTAAACACACTTCAACAGGGGACTACAACAGCCACAGAGTCACTGTAGACAGAAACATGCTGTGTCAGTCAGTGGTCAACACATCCACAAATGTTAAACACACTTCAACAGGGGACTACAACAGCCACAGAGTCACTGTAGACAGAAACATGCTGTGTCAGTCAGTGGTCAACACATCCACAAATGTTAAACACACTTCAACAGGGGACTACAATAGCCACAGAGTCACTGTAGACAGAAACATGCTGTGTCAGTCAGTGGTCAACACATCCACAAATGTTAAACACACTTCAACAGGGGACTACAATAGCCACAGAGTCACTGTAGACCAGATCCCTGTGTAGGTTCCAGGATCAGGCTATGGAGGAAAATATTCGACTCAATGTCCCCCCAACAAGCATGGCCTAAGAGTCAACTAATTATGGGTGTTCCTTCCAAACTCAGAATGCATTTGCCTCCGAGGCAAGGAACCAACAGTCTACATACACATAAGACAGACATGTAAAATGAATGTGCATGCAAAACTTAAGCTCTGCAACAAGACTAACATTTAAAAAAATGGATGAACAACCAGAATTTAAATAGATAGTACTTTAATGGTATTTTACATCGGCATGGAATGACGATAGCTAGTGCTGCCCACTAAGCAACAGATCACACATTGACTGTTCCTCCCTATATGCTGCTTACAGAAACAATTGAAATTGAGGATGATGATGCCAAAAACACATAAAACGTGTACACATATTAAACTGGGCTCAAGAATATTCCCCTCTAACTCAAATTGTATTAGTACCCCCCCCCCCCCTTTTCCATACCTACCTGCACACTGAAGCTGGCTGAGAATGTTTGCTCCCTCAAACATGTGGTCCACCATCTTGGCGTTTGGTTTGATACACCTGATGAAGTTAGTGCCCTGCAACAGATACCACAATCTAGCACATTAAGCAATACAGCAGATTATAAACTATTATTTCCTCTAGTAACTCTGCTATTGCAACTATTTAGCACATGCTATTTTATTATTTTTTTTCCTTAGTAATTCTTGTTTAGCTACATACTATTATTTTCTCTGTAGTAACTCTGGTATTGCAACTATTTAGCACATGCTATTTTATTATTTTTTTCTGTAGCAATTCTGGTTTAGCTGCATACTATTTTCTCTGTGGTAACTCTGTTTTAGCTACATGCTATCATTTTCCCTGTAGTAACTAATATTGCACAACTGTGTAGCTACATGCTGTTTTATTATTGTCTCTGTAGCAAATCTGGTATTGCAACTGTTTAGCTACATGCTATTTTATTATTTTTTTCTGTAGTAACTTTCCTGGTCAGGTCTTTGTCACATATGACTGAGCTAGCATATAACAGTAGCCGGTACTACCTGTCTTCTGTTCTGCTGAATGCTGAGTGACATATACCAAACCTGATATCCTATATTATGCCAATGGCTTCGGGCAGAGAAGCATATTGGGGAGGATACTAGCCTTATCCTAAGAAAAGAAAATGCAACATGAAAAAATTGTGTTATGGCAGGGCAGACCAGGCCCTTAGCGTTGGCTGGCAGATGGTCTTGGAGGGCGGCTTTGACAGGCGGACAGATAGAGCACTGCTCTTCTGATCTGGTAGCTTCTACAGCCTACTTTGTTTCAAATGTACTGGTGTTACCTTTCCTTTGGAGTAAACAAGACAGGTAGGGAGCGGGATCATGATACATGGGCTACATATGGTCTCTACAATACTGCCCAGGCTTTGTGCTATGGAGAGGAGGAACTTCATCCCTGGCTGTAATCGGTCTCAGAAACAAATCAGGAGGCAGCAGTTATGGGTTATAGTCCTTGTCAATTGGCTTAGAGGGTGCCACAGGTTGCCTCTGATGATGGGAGACATCTGCAAATGTCAATGATCAACTACCCCCCCCCCCCCCCCCCCCCCCCCCCCAGCTGGACAGCCCCCAGTCAATAAGGAGTTGATCAGGTACAGCCTGTATGCTTCAATAAGTGCTTGAAGCTAGGACAAAATCTGAATCACAGGCTGTCAAACCCATTCAGTAGGCAATGAAAAGAAACATAACTTCAAGCTTCAACTTGGCTCCTGGAACGTGAGGACCATGTCCTGGGTTTTCCACTGCCCTGGGAAACATTAGTGATGCCAGAAATATGGCTATCATTGATGCCAAACTCAATTAACTTGACACAAATATTGCTGGTCTACAGGAAACACGCCTGCCAGAGGATGGGTCCATATATTATACATTCTTCTGGAAAGACAAAGGCCAGGAAGAAATCTGGTATTGCAACTATTTAGCACATGCTATTTTATTATTTTTTTCTGTAGCAATTCTGGTTTAGCTGCATACTATTTTCTCTGTGGTAACTCTGTTTTAGCTACATGCTATCATTTTCCCTGTAGTAACTAATATTGCACAACTGTGTAGCTACATGCTGTTTTATTATTGTCTCTGTAGCAAATCTGGTATTGCAACTGTTTAGCTACATGCTATTTTATTATTTTTTTCTGTAGTAACTTTCCTGGTCAGGTCTTTGTCACATATGACTGAGCTAGCATATAACAGTAGCCGGTACTACCTGTCTTCTGTTCTGCTAAATGCTGAGTGACATATACCAAACCTGATATCCTATATTATGCCAATGGCTTCGGGCAGAGAAGCATATTGGGGAGGATACTAGCCTTATCCTAGGAAAAGAAAATGCAACATGAAAAAATTGCGTTATGGCAGGGCAGACCAGGCCCTTAGCCTTGGCTGGCAGATGGTCTTGGAGGGCAGCTTTGACAGGCGGACAGATAGAGCACTGCTCTTCTGATCTGGTAGCTTCTACAGCCTACTTTGTTTCAAATGTACTGGTGTTACCTTTCCTTTGGAGTAAACAAGACAGGTAGAGAGCGGGATCATGATGCATGGGCAACATATGGTCTCTACAATACTGCCCAGGCTTTGTGCTATGGAGAGGAAGAACTTCATCCCTGGCTGTAATCGGTCTCAGAAACAAATCAGGAGGCAGCAGTTATGGGTTATAGTCCTTGTCAATTGGCTTAGAGGGCGCCACGGGTTGCCTCTGATGATGGGAGACATCTGCAAATGTCAGTGATCAACTACCCCCCCCCCCCCCCCCCCCCCCCCCCAAGCTGGACAGCCCCAGTCAATAAGGAGTTGATCAGGTACAGCCTGTATGCTTCAATAAGTGCTTGAAGCTAGGACAAAATCTGGATCACAGGCTGTCAAACCCATTCACCAGGCAATGAAAAGAAACATAACTTCAAGCTTCAACTTGGCTCCTGGAACGTGAGGACCATGTCCTGGGTTTTCCACTGCCCTGGGAAACATTAGTGATGCCAGAAATATGGCTATCATTGATGCCAAACTCAATTAACTTGACACAAATATTGCTGGACTACAGGAAACACGCCTGCCAGAGGATGGGTCCATATATTATACATTCTTCTGGAAAGACAAAGGCCAGGAAGAAATCTGGATGTATGGAGTGGGATTTGCAGGAAAGTATTCACTGTTGGATCAGTTGAGAGTCTAACTGGAGGATGTGACAGAATATCATTTCTACTATTGTCCATCTCAAGCAGTTTTAACACCTTTGTTACCGCACTTGCACCCACTCTAATGTCAACAGAGGACGCAAAAGATTCTTTTAATGAGGAACTGGATAATGCAGTGAAGCATCTCCTAAATCTGATGGTATCTACATACTTGGTGATTTTAATGCTCACGTGGGCTCAGACTCAAACTCATGACCAGTTTGACTTGGAAGATATGTTGGTCACATGAATGAAAACTGGCAGAGACTGTTAGAATTCTGCACTAGAAGTGACCTGTGCATCACAAACCAATTTTTCAAAACTAAAGACCACCATAAGGTATCACGGAAACATCCAAAATCTGGCCATTGGCACCAGTTGAAACTTATTCTCACAAGAAGGCAGCACTTGAACTATATAACACCAACTCGCAGCAATAACACTGCTGATTGGATACTGACCACCCCTATTTGTACAGCCAGACACTTCCAAACCTTAATTGACAGCAAAAAGTTAATACTCCTTAGAAACAAGGAATGAATAACAAGGAAAACTCAGTGAATTGAAAAAAAAAAAACCAAGAAATCATTTGCAAAAGGTAGCTAGACAGTGTGCCATTCAAAAACCTAGCAGCAGTGGTAATATAAGAGGTGTGTATGAAGGGATCAAGAAAGCCATTGGCCCAACTATTTAAAAAAACCATTGCTAAAAAGCTTACCAATGAGAAGAAGCAGCAGCTAGACATAGGGGTGGAACATTATCTGGAGTTGTATTCAGTCTAAACTAACAGAAAGTGCTCTTAATGCCACAAAGACACTACCAACTCTTGACTAACTGGACACATTTCCAACAGTCGTAGAAGTTAAAAATTCTACTGATGAACTGGCTTCGGGAAAAGCCACAGGCAGAGATGGAATTCCTACTGAGACCATCAGGAGTGGGGGAGACATTCTAACCCCACACATTCATCAGTTAATAAAACTCTACTGGTGAGAGGGACAGGTTCTGCAAGACTTTAAAGACTTAAGCAACATAACTATGTACAAGAACAAGGGTGATCATAGTGACTGCATTAACTACAGGGGAATATCACTGATGTGTACTGTTGGAAAAGTACTTGCGAGAATTGTTCTGTGAAGACCAGGTTTACTCAGTATTTCGTGGATACCACTGATATGATATTTTCATTATGACAGTTATAAGAACAATGCCATGAAAAAAATCAACCACTTTTTATTGAACTTACCAAGGCATTTGATTTGGTTAGCATAAAAAGTCTGTTCAACACTCTGGAAAAGATTGGGTGTTCACCTACCCTACTGAGCATTATCGAATCGTTTCATGCAGGTATAAAAGGTACAAACAACTGTGAGGTTGTAACAATGGAATGATCAACAATGGAATGATGCAGAGATGTGTAGTTGCTCCTAGCCTCTTTGGGATATACTTATTTCTTTTAACTGGATGTATTATCTTGCTTGGTCTCTTGCCTTTCTCGAGTATTGGATTTGAAATGTGTCCAGTGAAGATTTAGTATTCTTCAGAGACATTTGTTCTCCAAATTTCTATTTTTTTAAAATCTAGAGCTAACATTGCTTTCAAACCCTCACATTTATAGAATAGCACTGAAATCACACAAAAGTTGACGATCTAAAGTTCTATTTGTTCGATAAATGTCTTAGACTTCCAGATGTTTGACAGTTTGTTAAAAACACTAGACCCCAGTGTGATTCTAGATGATATTTATGGCACTGAATTCCCTACAGTAAAGCTGTTAACTTGTACAAGAATGCGATTGTTTGGTTTGATGTTGTCTGAGCTACTAGTAATATCAATCATTTTTTTTTGTGTGGTGATGTTAATTTGGAGTCCTGAAACATTCTGGGAATGGTTTGTCTTCTCTTGGACAGCTGTATGTTATGTCATTAGCAAAGTCAAGGTCATCTAGAATTTACCAGGCAATTTGTGTTTTGTTTACATGCTATTTTATTATTTTTCTTGTAGTACTCTGGTACTGCAACTGTTAAGCTAAATACTATTTTAGCATTCTCCCTGTAGTAACTCTGGTACTGCAACTGTTTAGCTAAATACTATTTTAGCATTCTCCCTGTAGTAACTCTGGTACTGCAACTGTTAAGCTAAATACTATTTTAGCATTCTCCCTGTAGTAACTCTGGTACTGCAACTGTTAAGCTAAATACTATTTTAGCATTCTCCCTGTAGTAACTCTGGTACTGCAACTGTTTAGCTAAATACTATTTTAGCATTCTCCCTGTAGTAACTCTGGTACTGCAACTGTTAAGCTAAATACTATTTTAGCATTCTCCCTGTAGTAACTCTGGTACTGCAACTGTTTAGCTAAATACTTTTTTATTATTTTCTCTGTGAGTAACTCTAGTACTGCTACTGTTTAGCTAAATACTATTTACTATACATCAATGATTTTCCCCTTTTCAGCCTCTGACCCTTGCCTGCAGCCAAAGCTTCATACAGAGGGTGTTCCCTGTCTGTAGCTACTCTGAGGTATGACTTAGCCTGCAGCATCTTTAGCCTATCTGCAATAGTCGGCAATGCAAGGATGTATCACAATCGGGATGTCTCTTGTACAACCCAGGATCAGCCGCATAGCTTCATTCTGTATGCGCTCCAGTTTCTTTAGCTGACTCTTCGAGACAGTAAGTAACCCCAATCCATAATCAATCACTGAGATGACTAAGTGCTGGTAAAGTGTGAACAGCATTCTCTGCTCCATGTCAATCGCTTCCATAATCTTTAGTGAATTTAGACCTTTTTTAGCCCTATTTATGTGATCCCTGAAAGACAAACTTCTGTCAAAGGTAATTCCCAGGTACTGCAGTTGCTGTCTTTTTTGATGTCCCTGCCTTTTATTTTAAGTCTGGGAACATCAGCTCTAACAATCCTGTTGTCCAAAGAATACCACAGGACAGTTGCCTTTTCTGGGTTGATTACAACACTCATCTCTGTACACCAGTCAATCACTGTATCTACTGTTGCCTGTAACTCTTCATGTATTTGATTCCGATCTCTTCCCCATCCTGTATACAAGAACATCATCTGCAAATAATATTCTGCCAACTCCAGGTGTTTCCAGGCAGGCAATCTTGCTCGTAAAAACATTGAATAGCACAGGTGAAATTGCAGATCCCTCTGGTAGTCCTAGAGCTATAATACATGGTTCAGAGGTCCATGAACCCAGGCGGAGAGCTACCCGGCGAGTATACAGAACAACTGCTATCCAATTCACCAACCAAGGACAGACTACCTTCTCCATAAGTGCTTTCATCAAGATACTGTTTCTGACTCTGTTGTAAGCGTCTTCTAAATCGAGCGTCGCTGCCACCATTTCTTGTCTGTTATGGAAACCTTCTAAGGTATCATAGGCAAAAGTGGCTGCATTTGACCATGTGTTCTTCCCCCAGGGGTAACTCCCCAATCCTCATGGGAAAAGATTACTCTGTTCCAAAAATTCTTGTAGCTTAACTGCCACTATCTTCTCCAGCACTTTACCAAAAGTGTTTTGTAGGGTTATGATCCTAAAGCCCCAGAGTGTTGAATGATTTTTACCAGGCTTAGGAAGGGGAATCAGGTAGCTGTGCATCCACTCTTCTGGGATTGAAGCTGTCCTAATGTTCTGGTTGAAGCAAGCAGTCATCTCCAACAGGTCTGCATCCCTCATGTCTTTCATGTGGGAATATCTAACCCTGTCGGACCTGGGTGCAGTGTCTTTTGCCCCTTTTCAGGATTTATTTTAAATTAGGCTCTCTATTATGGGCCCTCTCTGTCTGGCACTATGACAGTTCCAAAAAACTTTTTCACATAATTGAACCCCAGCCATTCTGTTTTTCGCCTAAATCGCCTGGCTCCTGCCCTTCTATTTCTCTGCTTTCTTTTCTTACCATTTCCCCGTTTTCTCCTCTTCACTCTCTCTTTGCTGCTTGCTGAAGATGACATCAAGCGCAGAGCACATGATCCGTAGCTCTGGCGACAATTCTTATTAAATGAAAAATCTATATGTTGAAGTTAAGTAAGGAACTCACTGCTATCCAGAAATGAACTCACTGATATCCGGAAATGAACTCACTGATATCCAGAAATGAACTCACTGACTGATATCCAGAAATGAACTCACTGACATCCAGAAATAAACTCCCTCATATCCAGAAATGAACTCACTGATATCCAGAAATAAATTCACTCATATCCAGAAACGAATCCACTCTATCAAGAAGTGAATACAGCAAAATGTGTGATTTAACTTGTGTGACCCTTTGATGTCCCTATCCACAGCTTGTGTTCAGATTAGACTAGCGACTACAGTTTCGATAATTTGCGGTCTTTTTGGCAATTTCCGTTACCCTGGAAACCGTTCGAAACTTGCTTCGCAAATGTCGGCTAGGGTTTCGGGATGGGTCCTAATCTCTCATGAAATTTTGCGATTGGTGTGATTTTCACCCACTATAAAAAGCCGAAAGCGGCGGGAAGGAACCCGATTAACAGCGCATGTCTACGACAGCCGGACGTCCTCTGTTTTTCTGTTACATCAGTTTGATTGAAAATAGCGATAAGTATTCAGGGTTGGCTTTAGGCTTTAACTGTTACTAGACATGGTAATGCTAGTTATAATTGAATTCTCCGTCCACAGTCATCCTAGAAATGGGCCTGACGTCTTCCTTCGAAGTCGGAGTACAGCTGCCCATGAGGCAGGGAACAACAAAACGGTTGTACACGCAAAACTCAAGTCCAGGTAAAAGCCAAAAGTTCAATCGGACGATCGGACCTTCCGCCGGAATTCACAGCCGGTGAACGAAAAAGAAGAAGAAAAAGAATTCTCCGTCCAATTTTACATTTGTATATAAAATTTCTTTCTTGACAGTGGCTAGGTAGATGTACAGTGACATTTTTCAGGCAATCGCTGGCTCAGCCAGTGGCTGTGTCTCATTGCCTGCCATCTTGTCCAATGACAGTCCAATGTAAACAAAGCCAAAACGATAAGTGCGCAGTTTGGTGCGCATAGAAAACTTTTTGTTTCTGGGTCACAAGTTTTAGCAGCTGTTTCTTACATCTCATCTCCACAAAAACCTACAAATCTCAGCTCAGAAATGACACACAAGCCTAAATGAGGTACCGTTGGAAAGAGATTGTTTACAACTATCTAACTGTGCTGGTTTTATTGGTGTAGAGGGCATTTGAAAAATTTGACTAAAGTACCTAGATCTTCAATACCTGTTTGAACTGATATTATCTGGACATTCAAATTATCCATCACAATGTTAATGCTCCTATTTCTTTGATTACCTACAGTACTTTGAAGTTTCCTGTAAGAATTCCTTTTAAACTGATTCAGTCTTATCAGGTGTTTGTGTGAAACATTAGATCAACTTCATGTTTACATTTGTTCTGTGTGGTTCTTAATGTTTCTTGTCTTTCTATGAGTCTGAATGCCATAATACTCTAAGAGGCACAGGCCCTCAACAACTCATGCAGAGCCCTGGTAGACTTGTTGATGCTCTGTGAATCCGCTCCAGTTCCGTATGTGATGAAGGGGCCAACTCTTACAGCAGGCATGATAGGTTAAACCATAACTGTTAACCTATGCTTCCTTTAGGGCCCTGGTATTAAAGTCAACATAACAAAAACAGAAACAAGGAAAAACACACAAGATGCTGCTGCTAAAGACAGCTACAACACTCCGGTGGCTGCCAGGAGGTCAACTTACAGTGGCCCTGAGTTTATCCATCAGCAGCACCAGCTGTTTCCTGAACTTGGATCCCACACTGATAAAATTGAGCTTGCCTGCTGTGGTCCCTGTATCTTGGAACAGCTTCTTCAGCAATGGATTCTTGGTGTCCTGGATGAGGAACTCCAGGGAGGCATGCAGTGCATCATTGTTCTTGTCAATAAACTGAGTCTGTGAGAGTGTGTGAAGTACAGTTAACATATACACAATTAAGCTGAAACATCTGTGACTGAAGCAACAACAGTCAAGAAAAGCCAGGCAGAACAGAAGATATGTTAACAATAACATGTGCCAATGAATATACACTAGTTTATAAGCTAGAGAGACACAAGAGTATAACAACAACAGTACATCAGTGACTATATGACTTGAATCTAGGCTTGTACAAAGCTGCTGATCAGGCTGGAGAATACTGTGTGGTTTTGCTGAAGAGCTGCATGATATATCCAAAAGGTAATAAAACAGGAGTGACTGCAGTCAAGCTAATACTAAGACATTCATCCAACAAGTAATACTAAAAATTAACAGCAGCCAAATACGAAATACATACAATGGAATGTGTTCGATTGCACCTACATTTCTAACCCCAACATTTCACTGTAGGTAATAAATCTATGGAAGTACATGATATTATTACCACACTTTTATCTTTTAAGGGGGCATGTAACCTGTGACAAGATGATATTTGATCAATTTAAGAAGCTCAATGAGTTACATGAATAACTATAAAAAAAAAGTAGGAAGCCTCTATCAAACAGCACCCAAAATGGCAAAGTATCTTGGGTGACAGCACTCACATAGGGAAGTTACATGAATAACTATAAAAAGATGCAGAACAAATAATTACTCCAATGCTATTCTGCTGATGTTTCCAACATTCATTCCACACCTTTGCCTCTTCCAACTGTTTACACCTCTCTCTCTCTCTGTCTCTGTCTCTCTCTCTTAATTATTCTTACTTTCAACTGTTACTCTCACTTTCTGCTTCTCACTGTCACAGTCCCCGATAACTAACTAGGACAATGAGAGTGCTCACTGTGGCCTCACTTACTGTATGATAACAGACAGCTCCAGCAAAGTGACGGATCAAGAAGCCTTCATTGTCCCGTACATCCCTGTGGCTCTTCAGTTTGGATTTCCTGGGCACCTGACAACAACAACAACAACAACATCAGCAAATATTAGACAGACACACATGCTAGATGCTCTCAAACACCTGCAGGGACACAAGTGTAACAAAGATGTCACACCAGACACAATACAGACTGTTCAGAGGTAAATGTACATCATCACTGAGATCACTGGCAACAATGCAGGTCGCCAGGTACACTAGGCTGAAAGCATGCTGCCAGCCCAGCATGAAGTTGGTGATTTTCTCTTGGCCCAGCCCTTCCACGCCCCCCCCCCCCCCCCTCTCCCAGCTGCATCATGGTAGTTAGTCTTTGCTAAAATCGTAAGGAGTGCAACCTTGGTAGCAAGAAGTAAACGTCACCACATCACATAACGTGCGATGCTGGAACTCAGTGGGTTAATGGCACATTTCCCGAAGTCTACATACAAAGAGGTACATAGAAGGTAGTGTCGGCATTACCACAATGTCTAAAGGTAAACTGGATGAAATCATCCAATGTATCAATCAACAATTTCAATCGGGCTCCACCACCAGGCTCCCACTCATCTCCACCACTTGTGTAAACATTCTTGACAGCAGGATCAACACTGTTTCCTGTGTTTAAGCTCGACAGTCAACTGCAAACCTATGAATTCTCACAGCTATCTTCTCTCACATATTGTCTGTATCCACACACACAATCATATGACACAATGTGGGTTGCTGTACACCCACACACTAAGAACAGACATACTTACGCTCAGTCGGAAGTGGTCCTTGTTACGAGCATGAACTTCGCTGGTAAAGTGGTCATACTTTGGTGTGGGAAGTTTGCTCTCTTCATCAAGCAGATCAAAGATGCCCACACCTTTGGCCTCAATTAGCTCTATACAGTCCTGGTTGTCGGTCCATTCGATCTTCTTGACCCCTAGCCCTTCCTTCTCGTAGAGCAGTTGTTCCTGCAGATAGACAATAACATAAGCATCAGAGAGAACGAACGAAACAAACTTTATTTTCAAAGGGTCACAAATTGGACACGCAAGCCCGTCTTACATTCGGCCCTTCCAGTCAACCATCTTTCGCACAGCAGTTGTATTTTACTAATAAAGCATGTTATGATCATATGATGTTATGCATATTATGAATATTATAAAAGAACACAAAAGCATGAGTTGTAAAGTGCATGCAAAAACCCGCATACACACGCTCACCCACTCACTTACACACACATACATGCATGCATACATTACATATATACATACATACAGGCATACATACATACATACATACATACATACATACATACAAACAAACATGCATACACACAGGCATACATACACACAAACATACATACATAGATAGAAACATACAGGCATACATACATACATTCATACATACATACGTAATACAGGCATACACACATACAAACATACAGTCATAAATACAGTCATGCATGGAGACACACACATGCACACACGGACACTCCCACAGAGATACACACACACACCTCTCCCCCCTCCCCCAGTAGTGCTGATCCTGTCACTGTCTCATGGTGCTGACTCTGTCTCTGTCTCATGGTGCTGACGCTGTCACTGTATCGTAGTGCTGACACTGTCACTGTATCATGGTGCTGACCCTGTCACTGTCTCATGGTGCTGACCCTGTCACTGTCTCATGGTGCTGACCCTGTCACTCTCTCATGGTGCTGACCCTGTCACTGTCTCATGGTGCTGACACTGTCACTGTCTCATGGTGCTGACCCTGTCAGTCTTATGGCGCTGACCCTGTCTCTGTCTAATGGTGCTGACTCTGTCTGTTTCAGCATGCACAGACTCTGTCTCTGTCTCATGGTGCACACACTGTCACTGTCAAATGGTGCTGACACTGTCACTGTCTCATGGTGCTGACCCACACATGTCACTGCACACATGGTGCTGACACTGTCACTGTCACTCATGCAGACTGACCCTGTCACACACCCATCATGGAGATGACCTACATACACTGTCTCATGGTGCTGACCCTGTCACTCCCTCATGGTGATGACCCTGTCACTGTCTCATGGTGATGACCCTGTCACTGTCTCATGGTGATGACCCTGTCACTCTCTCATGGTGATGACCCTGTCACTGTCTCATGGTGATGACCCTGTCACTGTCTCATGGTGATGACCCTGTCACTGTCTCATGGTGATGACCCTGTCACTGTCTCATGGTGATGACCCTGTCACTGTCTCATGGTGATGACCCTGTCACACAACAGACAGTCACACTGTCTCATGGTGATGACCCTGTCACTCTCTCATGGTGATGACCCTGTCACTGTCTCATGGTGATGACCCTGTCACTGTCTCATGGTGATGACCCTGTCACTCTCTCATGGTGATGACCCTGTCACTCTCTCATGGTGATGACCCTGTCACTCTCTCATGGTGATGACCCTGTCACTGTCTCATGGTGATGACCCTGTCACTGTCTCATGGTGTCTCGTGGTGCTGACCCTGTCACTCTCTCATGGTGTCTCATGGTGCTGACCCTGTCACTCTCTCATGGTGTCTCATGGTGCTGACCCTGTCACTGTCTCATGGTGTCTCATGGTGCTGACCCTGTCAGCTGTCTCATGGTGTACTCGTGTGCTGACCCTGTCACTCTCTCATGGTGTCTCATGGTGCTGACCCTGTCACTGTCTCATGGTGTCTCATGGTGCTGACCCTGTCACTGTCTCATGGTGTCTCGTGGTGCTGACCCTGTCACTGTCTCATGGTGTCTCGTGGTGCTGACCCTGTCACTCTCTCATGGTGATGACCCTGTCACTGTCTCATGGTGCTGACACTGTCACTGTCTCATGGTGCTGACCCTGTCACTGTCTCAAGGTGCTGACCCTGTCACTGTCTCATGGTGCTGACCCTGTCACTGTCTCATGGTGCTGACCCTGTCACTGTCTCATGGTGATGACCCTGTCACTCTCTCATGGTGCTGACCCTGTCACTGTCTCATGGTGATGACCCTGTCACTGTCTCATGGTGCTGACCCTGTCTCATGGTGATGACCCTGTCAGTCTTATGGCGCTGACTCTGTCTCTGTCTTATGGTGCTGACTCTGTCTCTGTCTCATGGTGATGACACTGTCAGTCTTATGGTGCTGACTCTGTCTCTGTCTCATGGTTCTGACACTGTCACTGTATCATGGTGCTGACCCTGTCACTGTCTCATGGTGCTGACTCTGTCTCTGTCTCATGGTGCTGACACTGTCACTGTCTCATGGTGCTGACACTGTCACTGTATCATGATGCTGACCCTGTCACTGTCTCATGGTGCTGACTCTGTCTCTGTCTAATGGTGCTGACTCTGTCTGTTTCATGGTGCTGACTCTGTCTCTGTCTCATGGTGCTGACACTGTCACTGTCTCATGGTGCTGACACTGTCACTGTCTCATGGTGCTGACCCTGGCACTGTCTTATGGTGCTAACCTTGTCACTGTCTCATGGTGATGACACTGGCACTGTCTTTCGGTGCTAACCTTGTCACTGTCTCACGGTGATGACACTGGCACTGTCTTCTGGTGCTAACCTTGTCACTGTCTCATGGTGCTGACCTTGTAAATTATCTCCAGTCACATTCTGAGACTGGACAGCTCTCATTGGTAGCCTCAGCTGACCATGTAGACATAGTGGACTGGAGCGGAGGACACAAGCCTGGTATACACACATGTGAACTCTCTCTAGTTCACATACTGCGCAGAAACTCTCCATTGCACTAGACCAGACTCAAGCAAAGGACACAGTCCTATTTCTGAGGTCCTCATTCATCAACCAATGTTTTTTTTACCATAAAACATCCTCCTTATCTACCACATCTGCGAGATGGCTCCCAGGGACAGATCTGTTCCATGCCCCTAGAAAGCATC